ATTTTATATATCGTTTTTGTAATTTGAAGAGCAAACATTATTTTTAAAGAAAATAATAAAAATTGATGAATTAACTAAGCTAAAAAGAGCAACAGAAATGAGTATCAGGATATATGGGTAATATCTTCAATGATGAAGAAAGGATGGTGAAGCCCTGAAGGTGTGGCCCAGTGGTTGAGTGTCAACCTATTAACCAGGTCATGTTTCGATTTCTGGTCAGGGCATATGTCCGGGGTTGTAGGCTCGATTCCTAGTGCGGGGCAGGCAGGAGGCAGCTGATCAATGATTCTCATCATTGATGTTTCTCTCTCTCTCTCTCTCTCTCTCTCTCTCTCTCTCTCTCTCAAATCATTAAAAAATATTTTTTTAAAGAAGAAAGGATGGTGCAGTTATTCTCCCTTATCCTTTCTAGGGTCACACTGGTTTCCTTTGAGAAGTCAGTCCCTTCCCATCCCTGCCCTACTCCCCCATTCCAGTACTCCAGTTCTAGGAGTTGGCCTGCTTGGGCTAAGCTGGCCAGCTGAGTTCCCTGCCTTCCAACAGGGTCCTGATTGAGAGTGAGGAGCAGTGATCCAGGCCTAACCCCATTAGGTTTCATAACACAGAGAAAAGACTGGTCCGAAGTGGTCAGTTTTTCATTATGTACAAATGTGTCCCTGAAAAGCCTAAAAGAGCACCATGTTCCCTTCACCTGGTCACACTTAGATTTTCTCATTCTAGGGTATTTAAAAAACAGAAGAATTTAACTGCATTTAATCCCAATTACCACAGTTTTAGAAAAACAGAGAGCTATAGATCATGGAGAAATGGCTTTATACTGTAAAAAGGTGGAATACATGGAGCGAGTCAGGGCTGTGCCCTGTAGGTGCCTGGGGTGTAGGATTAAGGCTGACCATGCAATACTGCATAGTCTGGGGAGGGTCCCTGACTCTTCCCACCTGGGACACATCTGTCACAACACCCAATATATAATTGTATCTACCGTCATAAAATCAAATTCAAATAAAAGATGATCAGTCCCCCATAGATATATTAGGTAAGAGGATAGTGGTTTAGGAACAAAAAGGAAACATTTGTGGAATTCCCTGTATTTTCTTAGGAAGATTCCATGACTCTTCTGATGATATCTAGATTTGGCATTGCTGTTCCTAATTTATTACCTCCCAGGAAGAAACACAATCTGCTGAGTAACACTGATGCTAAAACCGTGGGAAACCAGGAGATAGTAGGACTTTGGCTCCATCAAATTGAAAGTGAACTACATTAGCAAGCTTCTTGGGGGAAAGCCTGGCTTTGCAGTTACAATGTTATGTTCAGTTCTTTATTATTCCCGGATTCTAAGAACTGTGGCTTGTCTCCTTTCAGTTTGAGAAACAAAAAGACCAGAGAGAGTATTGGCCTGACCAAATATAGACACTGGTTTGTCTTTGTTACTACTTAGAGGAAAGTGTGACAGAAGATTCTCCAAATGTAGGATTATTTAAAAGCCACTCTGGGGTTTTAAAATGCAAAGACCCCACTTGGAAGTTCAGAAATAATCAACTGCATGTGGTGGACTAGTACCCTGATTTAACCTTGCTTGCTTGAAGTATGGAGAAAAAGCAATAAATACAGAGCTGCACTAGATTATGTTGCAAGTAAGGGAATTGCAGACTCAGACTTTCAAACCTGGAGAGGCTTGGAAGAAGGACTGGCAGTGCATTTTCTTCACTCCTCACATATAGGGTGTCCCCCCAAAATGTATACACACTTTGAATAATTATTGATTCCATTGGGTTACAGCTGAAAAGAAATAAACATTAATTAAACTATAAAAATGTATGTGTATGCATTTTTGAGGTCACCCTATATATATAATGCTAACACTCTAACAATAGAGGTAACATATGTGAAAGATTCACATTTGTCTCAGTTATTTCCTGAACTTAATCTCCAATTTTTTTCATTCCCTTAATTTCAAATTTACTGCATAGATTTATTTTTGCATAGAGATTAACATGTACTTATTTACTGACTTCAAAAGCTCATACTGTAGAGGCAATACAATGTTGCTTATATTATCCCATTCCCCAGCAGTGACATATCTGTGCTCACTACAATACGAATTGTAGAAGCAAGAGCCCTCACACTGTGTTCACTGAGGTCGCCAGCTGAAGTTGAAAGAATTTGGACTACTCTTGTCTTCACTGTCTCATAAGCTGATGCCTACTGAGTCACCACCTAGTACTTCCCTGCATTTATTTAGTTACTAGAGGCCCAATGCACGAAATTCGTGCAAGGGCCTTGGCCCCGGCCCCCATCCACCACCGCTGTGGCTGGGGGCTTCTGCTGCCTCTGCCACGGCCCCTGTCCACTGAGGCTTTGTCTGGAAGGAAGGATGTCCGGAAGGACGTCCAGTCTAATTAGCATATTATGCTTTTATTATTATAGATAGCTGTGTTCCCAGCAGTTTAATATGGTGGGTGTTCATTAGATCTGTGTTGAGTGAAAAGGTAAATCAGAGGGGGAGAGAGACAGGGAAGAAAAGGTGGAGCACAAGGGATTCTTAGGGCAGTGAAACTATTCTGAATGATATATAATGGTGGATAATTGTCACTGTATCTTTGTCAGAACCCATAGAACGTACAACACAAAGAGTGAATCTTAATGTAAATTATAGACTTTAGTTAATAATAGTGAATCAATATTGGGTTCATCATAAATATTACACTAATACAGGAGATAAATAATTGGGGGCACTGTGCAGGGAAGGAGGAAAGAGAACATGTAGGAACTCTGTACTTCCCAATCAACTTTTCTGTAAACCTAACACTACTCTAAGAAACATAAAGCCTATTAATCTAAACAACAACAAGAAAATATAAATAACTTAAGTCAGATGGCCTTAGCATGTTGTGTATTGTAAGAAAACAGAGAACCAAATGTAACTAGCATAGGCAAAGAGGTAAATGTGTTAATGTGTTGGTTTGCTTACACAAACCAAGGGAAAGCATGAGGGGAAACTGAAACCAGGAACTTACATGCTCTTTTTCATTTTTATAATGATCTAGATAGACTTTCTTCATAATGCCCAAATGACAGTGGCCTATAGCTCCCAGGTCCACAACCTCCCAGACTTGCCACACTGAGAAGGGGCACTCTCTTACTTTAGTTCTTTTCTCCTTCTCCTTCTTCTCCTCCTCCTTCTTTCTTCTTCCTTTAGCTCTTTTTTTTTTTTTTTTTTAAAAACACACATTTTATTGATTTTTTACAGAGAGGAAGGGAGAGGGATAGAGAGTTAGAAACATCGATGAGAGAGAAACATCAATCAGCTGCCTCCTGCACACCCCCTACTGGGGATGTGCGTGCAACCAAGGTACATGCCCTTGACTGGAATCGAACCTGGGACCCTTCAGTCCGAAGGCCGATGCTCTATCCACCGAGCCAAACCGGTTAGGGCCCTTTAGCTCTTTTTAAAAAAATCCTCAAGGGAATTTGGTCAGCCTACCTTGGAAATGTGAACCTCTTCAGACCATTTGTGGCATTTGAGATATAGGCCCCAGTTAGCACATGGTGTGCATAAGGCTGGACACAAGTAGGCATGATAGGAGCCCATTGCAATTATTCTGACCAGAGATGTTGGTGGCTCAGAAAAAGATGCTGGAGATAGACAGAAGTGGTTAGGTTCTGGATCTAGTCTGCAGATAGGCCAGCAGAATTTATTGAGGCATTGGGTGTAAGGTGTGAGAGAAAGTAACGAGAATGACTTCAAGGTTTTTATCCTGACAACTCAAAGGTTGGAGCTGTCTTTAACTGAGTTGTGATGGTTAATTTTATGTGTCAACTTGACTGGGCTAAGGGATGCCCTGTGAACTGGTAAGACATTATTTCTGGGTGTGTCTGCGAGGGCATTTCCTGAAGAGATTAGCACTTGAATCGGAAGTCAGAGGAAATCAGATGTATTCTCACTAGCGTGGGCTGGCATTATCCATCTGTAGATGGCCTGAAGAGAAAAAACAGTAGAGGAAGGATGAAATCTCTCTTTCTCTTCTGGAGCTCGGACATCCATTTTCTCTTGTCCTTAGACATCAGCTCTCCTGGTTCTCTTGGGCCTTTGGGCTCTGGGACTTACATCAGCTGGCTGCTCCAAATGTTCTCAGGCTTTTGGCCTCAGACTGGGAGTTACACCACTGGATTCCCTATTTTTCAGGCCTTTGGACTAGGACTGAATTACATCACTGGTTTTCCTTGTTCTCCAACTTGCAGATGGCAGATGATAGCATATCTCAGCCTCTATAATTACATGAGCCAATTCCCATCATAAATCTTCTCTTATACATATTGGCTCTGTTTCTCTGTTGAATCCTGACTAATACATGAGTAGAGGGATATTATAGTGGCACAGGTTAGACTCGCAGCGGTTCTCAACCTGTGGGTTGCGACCCCTGAAAATACATCCTGCATATCAGATATTTACATTACGATTCATAACAGTAGCAAAATTACAGTTATGAAGTAGCAACGAAAATAATTTTATGGTTGGGGGTCACCACAACATGAGGAACTGTATTAAAGGGTTGCGGCATTAGGAAGGTTGTTAGAGGGATATCAGGAGCTTAGTTTTAGATATGGTAGGTCTGTTAGTCATTCAGTTGGAGATGTTAAGCAGCTGGATACACATAAGTCTATTCCTCTAGGTATCGCTTGACATATTATGGACTGTAATTGTTAACTCCTTTCTCTAGAATTCAAGCTCCGTAAGAGCAGGAACTTTGCCTGTTTTGTTCACTGCTGTATCTCCAGTACCTAGAAAAATTCCTGGGGCATAGCAGATACTCAGCAAAATTTACTAGAAAGGTGAATGAAGAAATGAATGAGGTTGTTATGTGTTCAGCACAACAGTTAGGAAGTGTTTGAAAGTGAAATTGCTTGACTGGCTGTTACTAGGGAGAGGTTTACAATAGGCATTGTCTAGCAAACATTTTCTCTGAAGAACTATGTAAAAATGAAGAGACACTTGCAAGGCTTCTGTAAACTTTATTTTATACTTACAGGCCACTGCCAATGCAGGGCCTTGGCTTTTGGCTCATTTCTACAGTTTTACTTGGAAAGATGTGGTAAAAGTAGAAACTGGAAATATTCCTACTAGTAAACCACAGTTACTTACCAGTCCATAAACAAAATGTCCATTGAAGCCTGTGTGGTTATTAGGAAAGCTATGACTTTCTGAATTTATAAAATGCATTATGCATATGCAAGAGAGAAAGTTTCTTAAACAAAAAAATAGTTGTTTAAACAAAATGGTGTGAGTTTATGGCTTACATTATGGGTATATATCAGTGCATGGTATGTACCAGCGGAATAATGGAATTCGACTGCTTACACATCAAAAAGCCCTGCAAGGGGGTCCATTGGAACCTGATATCATTTTATATGTGACGGTGCTAAAACGCAGCCCAACAAATTATTAGCTAATTTATCATCAGGAATATGCTTGGTGTAGTCTGATATACACATTAGATTACTTGTCAACCTTATCACTGAGTTTAGTTGAGTATTAAGACTATATAATTACTCATAGTTTAATGACATTTGTTCCAACAACCCCAAATATTGTTTTATCAAACCAGCCAATCAGCCAACCAACCAAGCAAATAAAACCCTATTGTTAACCCATGACTCGTCCCCTTTCATGCTGCCTCCCATGTTCCACTTGTAACGGTGACATAGTCACATGCTTTATGAACACAGATTAAAACTGACTGAGGCCGACTGTCATGATAAACAACCACCTAGATTCCAGTCCAAGTGTGTGCTTTGGCACAGCTACAAGGCATCATTATTAGATTACATACGTCCATACATAACATCACACACATGCATGTATCACACATACAAATATATTCCATAGAGATAATAACAGAAAAATTGGCTAGAAGATATGTACAGTTGTATACATATATACACACACACACATGCTAAAAGATTTTCTGCTCTACTCACAGTCTGTAAACATTTTGGAAAATACCCAGCAAAAGTCACTGTGGGCCCTTTCAAATGGTGACCATGTGAATTGTGGGAGAGGGGGAGGTGTTTAAGTTCACACTGGAAACCCAGAGAAGTGAGGAAGCATAGTTCATGGTGGCCTTTGGGGTGATTATATTCACTGACATGATAAACTCAGCCAGCCACTTTGAAATTATGTTTACTCTATGGAAAAGGGAATGATCAAAAAAAGTCTTTCTGCCAGTTAACATTTAAAACAAAGAATATGAGGTGATATGTACACTATATATACATACACACATATATGCATATATGTACATATATATGTATGCATATACATACATATACATGTTACTATTACTAAAAAACCTCAGTGAAAATTTCCAAATCTTCTAAAAATATTCAATTCTATTCTCCTAGGTTTAGACTTCTATGCATTAAACTGAAAGTCTTGGGTATAGTTAAACGACACGTACCTTTACATTTTGGTATATGATATTGATTGTACATAAAAGACATTAAAAATAAATTGGGCTTATGAAAAATAGAACTATTTGATTCAAGCATTATTTTATTAAAATTTAAGATGAAAAAATGTTCAGGATATCCTGTAATGAAACACCATCAAAAAATAGGTTCTTAAAAATTCTTTGAATAGCAGCTATTAAACTGCCATGTGTGGTTATCAATTTGTGCTTTAGTTCTGTATTTGTTGCAGCTTGAAAATTTATGTTAAAAAAAACCCCACAGTGGCATGAGAAACAACCTAATTTTTCACTAAATTGTTTTACTTTTTTTTTTTTTTTTTTACAAAATGAGCTCAAATAATTATTTTTAGGCTGCTATGCAGTTAAAAAATACTGGCACTGAATGACATGTCAAAATAAAGGTGACTTATGCCCATACCGTGTTTGCAAAAAAACACCAAAACCATTTAAAAAATATCTCTATTTTATAACCTCCGAACTTTCATGGTGACCAGTTCTCATTAAACATTTGACAGAACAGCCGTGAAAGCTAGGCATGCATGTGAAAACGGTTTTCATGCAAAAGTAGTAAATATCCTTCTGTTTTCATTTAACAGTCTCCCTATCCCCTGACAACTCTCACCATTTTTTAGTGTTGAATATAACATACAGAATACGTAAATTAGATAAATTAAAGAAGTAAGAGTCATTGAATTTGTGGGCATAAGACAGTCCACTCTCTGATGTTTTGGAAAGCATTTTCCAGGCGTAGGTCTGAGTCATGAGAGAAGAGACTTCTGGAGACATAGTTGCTGTGTTTTTTTTCTCCAATAAGGTTTGAAGGAATATTGATTAATGTTTCTTAAGCTGTTTAGTTTATACTATCCTTGTGGCTACTCCTCTCTGTGTTGTGGTTGTTTTGTTCATGGTTCTTCCACTGGATGCTGGTTCCATTCATAGGGACTGAGGTCATCAGACTTTTGGACTGGTAACAGCAGCAGCAGAGGCAAGACTGGGAGAAGAAACAGATGCTAAATGACATGACGTGTGTTACGTTCCCACCAACAAGGGGTAAATGCCCACAGACATTTGAGGACAGAATGTGAACCTTAACAGTAATCTAGGGTATGGAGTCTGTAAACCCTAGGTAGAAGCTAAATTGTCCATTCTTGTGCAGTGAAATATATCCCTTGTTTCTTGTTTAAATTCTAAGTAAAGAGGGAAGCAGTTTTGGCCAGAGGAAGAGTGCTCTATGACTTGGGGTGGGCATGAGTGGGGGATTAGGAGGGGGGCCTAGCATTTCTTCAGTGTGCACCACTGGTGTGGCTCTCTGCATTGTGTACCTCATCTGATGCTCACAGCCCTATGTGGTAGTTGCTAATTTCCTACCAAGTTGTATGAAACTACCAGGTTTCATCTATTTGTACAAATCTCCCTTTAGATTGTAAGTTCCACGAGGGCAGTCACTGTGCTTTTTTCCTGTCCACTTTATCCCAAATAATAATAAACTCATACTTAGCACTTATGATTTAAGCACTTAACATATAGTATTAACCCACTGAATCCTACTTATGAGATAGATATTGTGACTGTCTGATTTTACAGACCAGCAAACGAAGGAAGAAGGAAGGGCACCACCCAGACCTGGGTTTGTCAGTAAGTGCAGAGCTGTGATGCAAATCAAGATTGTTTGCTTCCTGAGCTGCACCCTTGACCTCTATGCTACTCTTCCTAATATGTGCCATGAACTAACATCCTGGCTACAGATAACAGAATCCAATTCGGATTAATTCTATGTTAAATCATTCCAGGAACTGTGCTTGGAGCTTCTGGAGGACATGGGTTGATTTAGCTACAAGAAGGTTTGAAGAACAGAAGGAAACTGATTTCAAATGCAATTACATTAATTCAGGTTTCCAGAGCAATAAGTATTTACTTGTCTTGAAGAGGCTATTATTAAATATACTATTAAGTAGTATTTAGAAAGAGCTTTCTTTTTTAAAAAAATATATTTTATTGATTTTTTACAGAGAGGAAGGAAGAGCGATAGGGAGTTAGAAACATTGCCTCCTGCACACCCCCCACTGGGGATGTGCTCGCAGCCAAGGTACATGCCCTTGACTGGAATTGAACCTGGGACCCTTCAGTCTGCAGGCCAACGCTCTATCCACTGAGCCAAACCAGTTAAGGCAGAAAGAGCTTTCTTAACAATAGAGTTTATGTTTTGCTGAGACTGTTGTTAAAACCTAAAAAAAAACATAAGGAAGGAATAGGATTTATGTATTCTATATGACCTGCAGTTCACATTTGAGCCTTTCTTTTTAAAGGAGGGTTCTAAATTGACATGTTATTAAGTTAGTTATTTTTAACTTTAACCTCTGAATATGTTGTTGTCTGAATAGATATTGCTTTTCTTTTATCCTGACAATCTAACCATCTTTCTGGTTAAAAATCTGATTTTCACTTCTCTACTGAAAAGTATAGCTGATGAAAGTAATATTTACAATTGGAATTAGCCATACCTGTTGGCTACTTAATATACTTATTTGGTTTTCCTTAAAAATACTTGCAAAATAGTCTTACCTGAAAACAATTTTTAAATTTCTTGCTCACAAAATATAGAGCTATTGGGTTTATACATGAATTCATAGTTGCCAAGTTAATGCCGATATAATCCATGAGCAGCAAGAAACTAGAGCAAAAGAAAATAGTAGAATAATTAGCACATAATGTTTTCAAAACTGCAAACTAGCATTTATCCCTAGAATAAGCATTTTTCTTGCCCAGAAGCCATTTCTCACAGGTAGCAGTCAGAATTTTTTTAAAGTCCTTGTTTAAATGGCACTCTCAGTTCTGCAGAACATTTAACTGCCACTTGGTTAGCTCAGACTATTATGCACAGCCTCAGGAGGGGAGCAGCAAGATTATAGACATGGCTTGCACAAATTTTGGGATCAGTTATGAGTTATGTCAGCTAAAGAAGAAATAATCAACTTTGCAGTTTTAATTTCCAGGGCTAATGAGAATGTGGACTAGATGGTTTTGTAAAAGTATCATAAATGTGAAAATCAGAGAAACTCCAATTTCCTAATGGGTACGTAGGATCATACCTAAGTAATTCACATCGGTTCTTGTCCATCTCATCATACACGGTTTTCTTCAAAATACGGCTTAAATGAAGAGGGAACCAGCAAAGAGCAAAAATTACAACCAAGCAGAAAACTGTTTTTGCCACTTCTCGACGCTAAAGGAAAGTGAGAAAAAAAGTACAGTAAATTCGTTGTTTTTCGGCTAGATAAAAGAACTACATAATAAGGAAGTAGTTGAGAGCAGAGAAAGAATAACTCAAAGAGGAGCCAGGACAGCCTGCCTCACAGTACTTCTACCTCTTTAAGATTTAGAATCCAACTTCAATAAGGATTTGCTACTGACTCTTTTGGGCAACTGCCAGGAAGGACGGTGGCTTTAGGTTGGTTATTAGGACTAGGGCAGAGGTTCTGTGGCAGGGAGAGGTAGGAACTGGCTGGAGTAGAGCCAACACTGTGGGTGCGCCTGAGTGAGTGTGTGTGTGTGTGTGTGTGTGTGTGTGTGTGTGTATGTGGCAAATATATGGGGAAAAGCATTATCTAAAAGCATTAATAACAGGTAACTAGCTAGCATTAATTACAGCATAGCAGTCAAAGTGACTGAACTCACCATGTTAAAGAATGGACAAATCTGCAAAGATGTTTGGAAAACAAAATAGAAATAGGAAATAGAAAAGAAAAAGCAACAGCAGCCTGGACGTGGTGCTCAGTGGTTGAGTGTCATCCTACGAACCAGGAAGTCATGGTTTGATTTCCGGTCAGGGCATGTGCCTGGGTTGCAGACTAGTCCCCAGTAGGGGTTGTGTAGGAGGCAGCTATCAGTGATTCTCTGTCATCATTCATGTTTCTATCCCTCTCTCTTTTTCCCTTCCTCTCTAAAATCAATAAAAATATATTTAAAAAAACAACAAAAATCATCAACACAGCAATATGTTTTCTCCATTTCTTGATCTTTAAGAGAGCTAGCATTGGGATATTTTTGCTTTAAAAATATTTTATTAATGACATATTTCCCAAAGATATATTGTTTGCAAACATAGGGATGAGGGTAAAGGATTATCAGCAATGATGATGAGAAAACCTGGGACATGCTGACCCTGGAGTGACTTTAGTTGAAGGTTTACATACTTTCAAGTCTGCACAGGATCAGGAAAATCATACGTTAGGGATTAGCAGCAACCAGTCTTTTGTGTGCATTATGCTTGAGTAGTATAGCGCATGCATTTAGAAGGCTAACTAGGAACATAAAATGTAACTTGTCTGTAACTGGGATCAGTTAATGTCAAAATAAAACTGATTGAAAACAGGGTTTGGAAGAGTAATGCTGGTTCAACCAAGAGCATATAGCATTAAGTATAGGAAGCCTAGAGCAAACCCACATGATTAATGGAGTCATTTAAAAAGATTTGGGGGCAGTTATCACAAATTTCGACTCTAATTCAAAGAACTGAGAGTTCTTTAATCTTTTTGGAGCTATCGGACTAGCTGGGATATACTTCAGAGAACACATAAACCGAGCAATGATTGAGAAAAATAAAGGATTCCAATCTGCAGGAATGGGAGATCATTTTAAAGGATCATTTTGTGTAAACAGAAAGACGGTGTGCCCAGAAAAATAAAAAAGTAAAGTATTAGGGGGAGGTTATCTTCTCTGAGTTCATCATCAAAGAGGATAACCCTTTTAAAAGGTAATATTAATACATTGCCATTACAGTCTTCTATTTGCTTACCCAATATTCATCCTCCTATTTTCCCTGCTATCAATCAGATTCTTGGTTTTGTTATAGCAGCGTGGGAGCCTGGGCCTAATCATCTGCATGGCTACCTGGCAGTTCTGACCAATTAGATTAAGTAGAAATTGTGTGAGGTTTCTGTAAAGCTACTTAAAAGTGGGGGATACTCCTTTGATGCTCATACACTCATGTGATCTATGTTCTTCCCCTTTTTTTGCCTGGAAATCAGATATAACTCATGTGATCTATGTTCTTCCCCCTCTTTCTGCCTGGAAATCAGATATAAGGGTAGAGCTGTAGTTGCTGTCTTGTGATAATGAAAGGTCAGCAAAGCAGCAGACACCTGCCTGTGAGTCCCTTTACCACTGAATCAATAACATCTGAACTTTTTGCTGTGGGAGAAAGATAAACCCCTCCTTGGTCTACTCAATGTTATTTTGTTTTGTTTTGTTTTTGCTACCAGCATCCAAACACAATCCCTAACTGATAAAATTGTTGTCAGCATAACAAAGAAAAACTTGAGAAACATACAAGAAGCAAGATCAAGAGTCCAATAGGCTAACAGTCGAAGACTGACAGGGCTTTTCACTCTAAGCTAGCTCCCCCATAGTTCCACCTGAAGGCCTTCCAGCCAGGCTTGCTCGTCTGCTCTTAGAACCTGCTACAGCTTTGAGTGTGACACAAAGGAATGTCTACTGCATAAGGACCAAGTCTTGGATTCTAATTTCCATTTGGTTGAGCCACTCTCTTAATCAATCAGATTCTTGGTTTTCTTATAGCAGCGTGGGAGCCTAACCTAACCTTCTGCATGATAAGGATAATGCCTGCCTTGTCTATCTCACAGCATGCTTGGGTGAATCAAATAAGAAGATAACATGGAAATGCTTTACAAAACTTTAAAAATGCTGTGTAAATGTGAAGTATCATCATATTATTATTGTTTCCAATCCCTATTGAATTATTTTCAGAGAAAATACCACTTATAGCTTAAACAGGCTCAATCATGGTGCTGATACAAAAATCAACATTTAAAACACTGTTTTTCACACATCTATTCTAATTAATTATTTCCATTGCAGGAGTCAGAGGTAATAATTGCTTAATATGTTTCACATTGGGAATACTTGAAATTTTCATGCTTGAACAATGTCATACTAAAGTTTTTCAATATAATTTTCCTGTTAAATTTCAACAGGAGGTAATAGCTACCATTTTTATGGCACGTTAGATTTTTACAAAGTATGTGTATGCATATTATTTCCTTTGATTCCTATAATAACATTGATTTATATGATATTATGCCCAATTTACAGACAAGGAGCTGAAGCTCAGAAAAATTAGTAAAGTAGTTGAAAAGAGCTGCTGCTGAAGAATGATGCTTGTGTATTGTAATTATATAGGGTGGATTTACAGGCTCCATCTGAAACTCACATTAAAATTTGCTGTGGTGTGGTGTCCTTTTCTGCTGAGATTTAGAACTTACAGTCCTAGTTTTACTCTTTGAAAAGTATCTATGAACTTTTTCTGGATACTTACTATGAGTTGGATTCTATTAGATACCTTACATGCATTAGGTAACCCCCTTGACGTTATATATATATATTTTTTTAAAAAAATATATTTTATTGATTTTTTACAGAGAGGAAGGTAGAGGGATAGAGAGTTAGAAACATCGATGAGAGAGAAACATTGACCAGCCGTCTCCTGCACACTCCCCATTGGGGATGTGCCCGCAACCAAGGTACATGCCCTTGACCGGAATCGAACCTGGGACCCTTGAGTCCGCAGGCCGACGCTCTATCCACTGAGCCAAACCGATCAGGGCAATTATATATTTTTAAGAGGAACTAGAAGCTTAGAGAGATTAAGCAATTTCCCCAATGCCACAGAGCCAGCAAGTTTAAGACTCAAGTTTCCCCCTCTAAAGCTGTGTTCTACTTGTTTCCCTGGAGGGACTACTAGCAGCCTCCTATTGACATATTCAAATTCATCCTAGAACTTTGGTTGCTCCAAAACTTGACCTCTTCAAATATATAGGATCATATTTCTTGTCAAGAGTCTCATCTTTGATGTTGTTGATGTTGCTCTAATGAGGTTCATCTCCTTTCTCACTCCTCAAATGGGTGGTTTCCATGTCATGTTATAACTGACCCCTCTCTTCCCACCTGAAATACCCGCTGGCCTTTTCTTTCCCATCGATCCCATTTATCTTCCATGAACAATTCAATCCCCTTCATCCATGAACAGTTTTTCCATGACTTAGTCTCATATCTTCCCTGGATTTCTACAGCATAGGCTACTTTTGCCACACCTTCTGATTCTATTTTCCAGTTGTTTCCAGGTTTGTATTTTATTTCCACAACAATACTGCAGAGCCTGCTAGGGGAGACAGTCATATGCTCCTTTTTGTCTTGGCAGAGTTCCAAGCCAAATTCAATGGATACACACACAAACACACATGGTCAATATACTCTTGGCAAAACCAGTAAACAGTTCCTCCATTTGGGCCTAGGATCCAGTTAGGCTCCCTATTTCACAAAAGAAATACCTAATATTATAACTATAAAGAAAATAAGACATACAAGCAAACAAGACAGTATTTTTATTTTCACGAAAGCAGGCTAAATCTTGAAATACAGTATTTGTAAGCCTTTTGTTGTCAAGGACAAAATAGTCTTGGCCAGATTTTCATAATCTTATTACATTTACCTGTTTAAGATGTTCACTGAGGGCAATTCTCAAACTTCCATTCCTTCTGTTTAACATCTCACAAGTCATGAGGGTGTAGAAAATTGCGGTGCACACCAAGGGCATGCAGAAGTAGAAGCCGAACAGCCACCAGTCCTTCACATCTTGGTAGAACTGTAAATGAAGAAAAGGGAGAGAGAGGGCGGGGCTTTATAAGGTAAATTAACTGTGTAGTGCCTCTGGGTCCTTAAAAATCTTCATGTTTGCAGATACTTTGTATATTTATGCTCTCTGGTTGTGGCAATGAGCTTGGGGTGGTGCTCAAAACCCAATTAAATTGGCAAGTCTAGAAATTATCCTGGCTTTATAAAATAGCACATGAATAAACTGCATTAAAAAAAAAGATATATTTTATAAGACACCTTAATTGTACAATGGAAGAGCCCTAATCAATAAAAAGAATTCCCTTCCAAAGCTCACAAAACGATTCTGAGACATACAGAATATATATTTATCTTTATTAGTGAGCCTCAAAATTTTGCTAATGTCTGGTTTACTTTTGGCTATTACGGTCAAAGTGTACTTAATGTGAATATCTTGTTTGGAAACAGGGAAGGTTATGAATGGCTTATCTGTGTAGCTTTGGTTACCAGGAGTTAACCCTTTGCCTGGTATGCCTGCTATGTGACCTTTTAGCTAGCCAGTTTGAGCCATAAATAATCACGCCCCTTCTCACTCTTTTTAATACTTACCACCTGGAAACTATCAAGACAGAGTACCTTATCTGAAGGCATATTTAGCATGATCTCTCTATGGGCAGGAGTTGCAAATACTAGGATTATTCACTTTTATGTCTTTTTAAAGAAGAAAATTTAATACCCTATAAAAATGGAAATTGGAAAATTATATCTACATTCTTCTTCCCACTAAACTAATTATCAACTTGGGGAGAAATGCTTTTCTTTTCCTTATTCTGTTTCCTCAGATTGTTTATTTACTATGGATAATGCAGTTATAATATCTCAGTTCCCACAGTAAAAACTAATCATGTTGCTCTGTGAAAAACTAGACAGTTTCTGAATATAGAAGAGGCACAGTGGGATACATTTATAGCATGTTTATTAAGATAATCTATAAATGGTTCCTGAGGAAAAAAAGTTCTGGGCAGAGGTTCCTAACTATTTTTATGCCATAGACCTTTTTGGAAATCTGGGGAAGACTGTAATCCTTTCTGGGAATAATATATTTACATGCATAAAATAAAATATGTACGATTATAATGGAAACTAGTTACACAGAAACAGTATCAAAACATTAAAAATAAAATTTTGATATAGTAATATAGGTGTTTATTAACAAATTAAATGACATATCCAATGGTGGTTCTAATAACTATCAGAATGTTGAAGCAATGATGACTGTAAATGATATTGCAAGATTATACAAATGTTATATGGTATGAAAATGTATTATTTCTATTAGTGACAAAAATGTAGTTTGTTGCCTATATTCATAATTGAAAGAAGTGATAAATTTTAGTTATTAGTTAGTGAAAATAAACGTGTAATTTCTTTCTCATTCAAGTGAACAGACCTCTGGATTTTAACTTCAGGTTAAATCAAACTCCCATTTTATGCAGATCTTTCCCTATCCACATCACACTGTAGAAAGATTTCTGTAGTGAGCTTAAAAAACAAACAGAAAAAATCAGGACTCTCGAATACAAACACTCCTTTAAGTACCCTCTTCAATTTGTATCCCCTTCGTCCAGGTGCATTGCTGGCTGGAGTGAATGCCCAAATGCAGTTACAGAGGGCCTGAAAGATGACCCCCTGAGGGGCCTGGATGGAGTCCCCTTGCCCCCTCCATGGCAGAGGCCTATAGACAAAGGGGTCACAAATTCCTTTTGAACTGATGTCATCAGCAAGGGCGTGGAGGGACCTCTCTCCAGTCTGTTACAGCAAAGTATAGGAGGAAAGTGTGAAACAAAGAATAAGAATAAAATTTGAGAGAAAAAAACAAACAAAAAACAGGAGGAGAAAGAGACTCTCAAATTTAAAAAAATTATCAGTTCATACTCATACCCTTTACTACAACCCTCTAGGTTTTTCCTGCCTGAAGGAAAAACATTGCTTGACCATTTTATAAAGGAGACTCAGTCATTGCAAAGTACCCCTTTTCTTTTTGTCAAGTTCTAGTGATTAGTAAGTTCCTATGTTGAGCCTCTTCTCCCGAACATTTTATTCAGAAATATTTAGATTGCCTATTTACACTGCCCAAATTCTGATAACCTCCTACTGACTACTTTGTTTTCCACTATGGAGATTTGACGTAATAAAAAATTCAGTAGATAAACAGACCTTAATTTTAAGGTTGCCAGTTTGGCAGCTTTCATGAATAGTTTTAATTTTAAAACAAGAATGTCCAAGCAGTATAACTGGTCAACTGTAAAACCACTAATTTTGTGAATTTTCCAAGTTAGGAAAACATACCTTCAGATGTCTGAAAGTGATTAAATGTGGAATCTGAGCTGCATGAAATTTACATCAAAGCACTAAATTATGCTGATTTAAGTGAAATAGTTATCCTTTTGGTTTTCCTCCTCAGTCCACCTTTGACTAGTTTTGCAAAGGTAATATGCATTGTAAGTATGTTTCCTGATTACACGCATGTGATTAAGCTTTTCAGAGAAACATTAATGTGACCAGATGTACTAAACAACAACTGAATTTGTTAAACGGAGCACTTTTTAAAAAGTTCTGCAAATTTATATTATTTGTACATGCAAATATAACTTTCTTCCTACTTTGAGTTAATTCTATCTTTAAAAAATGTGTGAGCAACATATATTTACCTGAGTAACCAAAAATAAGTATCAGCATGTCTGTCAGATGGAAGTTGTGCTGTATTCCGTATTATAAAACAGTAGAGGCCCAATGCACGATATTCGTGCACAGATAGGGTCCCTAAACCTGGCCAGCAATCAAGGCCAATCTGTGGGGCAATTGGGGGTCCCCGCTGGCACCCACCTTGGCCGGCCTGGTGCTGCCCACTCCCCAGCTCCGCCCCCTGCTGCCGCCAGTCAGTCGACTCTCTCTGCAGGGCAACTGGCAGGGCGATCGGGGTTGGGGGTGGGAAGTGGGGGGCCAGCTCACATCCTCCTTGGCTGTCCTGGGGCCTTCGGACTGGGGGCAGATCCTGCATTGAGTGTCTGCCCCTTGGTGGTCAGTGTGCGTCATAGTGACCAGTCATTCCACAGTTTGGTCAATTTACATATTAGGCTTTCATTATATAGGAAGTAGCACTTTATACATATAATCTCTCTTTCCTAATAAATGCACTTCAGAATTCTGGGTTTTTTGGTACAGAACAAAAGTTGTATCTACAGTTGTGCTATAAAAGTAAAAACAAAATAATTGTTCTCTTCAAGAAACTAAGCCCTAGTTTAACATCTACTTTTTATGCAACTGTAGAATATTTGACTGAACTAATAGAGTAAACCACACTGGGCACTGCAGAGGTATCAATAAGTTGTGGTGATGGTAAAGTAAAAGTGAAGACCTCCTCCTCTCCCCAGTTAATTCCCTTGAAGCTATTTGTACCTTCATGAACGCTGATGTGGCATTGAGCATACAGGTATTATGCTGTTCACCCTTGTATTCAAAGGGCACCATGACGAAGCCAATTGCTTCAGGGATGGCCAGGATAAAAGAAAGGATCCAGATGGAGACAATCTCAATGGCAGTGACCAAGGGAATCCCAATTCCCTGAACACGACTCCAGGAAGCAACAGCTCTGTACCTGAAAATAAAAATGGGGTGATGGAACCAAGGTGTTAGGGAATTTTGAATTATTTCAATTAAAAAAAATTATAAATGCTGCAAGTTCCCTCGCTTGGCCAGTGACCAACCATTGGCTTTTTAGGAACTTTTTTTTGGCGTTCTTGTGTGAAAAACAAGTGGGGCTGTTAAAAGTTCTACCCATTTGGAAATCAATTGCCTGGCAGGTCTAAGTCTGAGCTCTTCATTTGGCATCTAGCATAACCTTGTGAGAATATAGAATGTGGCAGCATCAGATAGGAGTGTCTATGGTTGTTTTTTCAAATTCCTCATCCAAGGGTATGTTTTTATTGATTTGAGAGAGAGAGGAAGGGAGAGGAGAGGGAGAGGGAGAGAGAGGGAAACATTAATGTGCAAGGGAAACATCCGTTACTTCCCATTTGCACCACCTGACCAGGGATCAAACCCGCAACTTGGATATGTGCCTTTACTGGAAATCCAACCCTCAACCTTTCAGTGCATGGGACAACACTCCAACCAATTGAGCCACACCAGCCAGGGCAGCGTGTTTATGTTTCTTAAGTGGGGAGGGGTAGAGGGGGGAAATTGGATGATAGAAGAAGTAGTGAAAGCTGCTGGTACTTGTAATGCTAATATCTTACTTCTCTTTATATATTACAAAATAACAACATTTGAAATCTTATCTATGAAGTGGAGCTAGATATCCTTAAGTGAATAGTGACCATAGATAGTCCATCATTTTCTCTTTTCTTCTACCCTCAAAATATGATTACAGTGAACCTCTCCCGGGTGGCAGTTTTAGTAAATAGAGAGTATTTCTGGTAAATGTCAAAGAATGACTATATCACTTTCATTATGGTCCTGAGCTAGAATATATAAAAATGACTTAAAGATACACTGATTTCTAATCTTTAGTATGTATAGTCTAATAGAAAGAACAGTTTTTATAGAAGCATAGAATATAAATGTAACTGAACAATTATGTCAATTAAAAAACAAATTGGCATTAATAAATTGTGTTTACCTTTTACTTTAATATTTTTGTGATAATAATCACATTTAAATGTTAAGTTTAAAGAAAGATTGGTTTATGGTCTTTGATCTGATGTGATGGTCTGATGCTAACTACTTTCAGACTTAGTACTAAGAAATGACCTGTGATGTAGTATGGTATTTTTGTGGCTTCATTCTTGAAATTTTTGTTGCTGTTGTAATGGAAAGGAAACACTCTCCTTTTTATAGCTTCATGAGATAGAGCCAGGAGGCTATAAAACAGATCGAGGCATTGGAGACAGGTACACATGGGTTCGCAGGATATGCAACTTAATGTGGAAGATTAGTCAGGAAAGCCAGGCAACTTACAAGCTACCCATATCTACCAAGATGAGTCCCATCACTTATATATCAGTGTTCTATCTCAGTATATCTTCAAGATACATCTGTGAAAACACAGCTTCTTGGAATTATGCTATCTTGTTCTTCACTGTAGATTAGTCTATAGTTTTGGTATGCACAATGATGCCACATGGGATATATACAGCACAATTTTCTGGAGAAATGTTTTGCAAAAGATTTTTAAGGTAAATAAGTTTAGGGTGCAGTACAATCTCTAAAAAAGTCCAGATGAGTTCAGAATGGAATAAAATACAGCTATGCAGAGACCAAGAAAATCCTTTTACGATATGGCCAAGATTGCATTTTTAAATTCATGGTTATTTTCAGTAGGATAAAGATTGCTATTCATTTTGCTACTCATTTCTGTTACTTTTCCTGTTGCCTCATTAGACTGCTAGCCTGAAGTTCAGTGAAAAAGGAATGGAGACTGAATGTCTATATCCCGAGGCTCTCAATGAGTTACACTAAGCATCTATTTCTTCTCTCCTCCTCTCAGATCAGTTATCAGGAAAGGTGACTTAAATAAAATACTTTAAAATACTCTCTTAAGGGAGTAAGAAAACCAGATGTCTTAGGCAGGATTGAAGATAGAAAGTGGTTTAAATGTAGTCAACATGTACTTATAATGAATATATTCAAAGACCAGCTTCATTTTATAATGTGACATGAGTTCCCAGAATATGACATGTCTATAATCCAATGTAAATTAAATATTTAAAAACAAATAGAAGTAATTTTTAGTGTCTAGCTTAGTAAATTATTTACAATCAGTCTGCTCCTTCATTAACACACATGACTGAGAACTAGAATATTTTCCATTTGTCATCATAGTTGTCTTGATAAAATCTCTATGAAATGAGAAAACAACCATCAGAGCAATTAGAAACAATTGTGATGATGGAGGTGGGGAAAGCTGTGGAAAATAAGAAATGCTTGGATCCAAGATAGCAGCAGGGTAGGTGGATGTTACACTCACCCCCTCCCAGGACGAGCCTGGAATTACAACTAAAATGTAGAGCAATCAACCTGAATAACCAATTGAAGGCTAGCTTAAGAGAAGTCTTATAAGGAAGGATTTACAGAAGAAGGGTGGAACTGGGGAAAGGGCTAGCCCCACTCCACCACATGGCAGCTAAGATTTTGGAGGGATATCTCAGCTGAAAAGGTTCCTCCTGAGAAGGGTGCGGTCTCAACCCCAAGCCAGGCTTCCCAGACCAGAGCATCAGAGCTAGGAAGACATGGCTGTGAAAATCAGTGGGGATTCTATTTGTCAGGGGGCCAGGAGAGTCTGCTAGACACTGGCACCCTCTTAAAGGGCCAATGCACAAAAATCTCATTCACAGCCACTCATCTTGGGCTCCAGCAGAGGGAGGGCAGATTGGACTAGAATCACGTGAAAAGAGACTGGGCTTTATGGCTCTGTGAGAGAGCTGAAGGGACAACTGCCAGGATCTCTGTGCTGAGTCCCTCTCCCATACCCCAGATGCCTTCCTACTTGGGTGGAGCACTCCCCTCCATATACGTTAGCCTGGGGGAATGCAATTGCCTCACACTCTGGACTCTCTGTTGCACCATCCTGGGAGCTCGTGCCCTGAGGAGTCAGCTGCCTGGGCTGGGTTGTAGAGGTCTGGGCAGACTAAGGGATCTCAGTAACTGAGTTGAGTGGCTCTGGGGTGGGGGCTACTCCCCCACCTTCCCTCAAGCCTGACCTGCACCTCTCTTTCATGGGAGATCCACTAGCCCAGCCGTGGGCAAACTACGGCCCGCAGGCCGGATCCGGCCCGTTTGAAATGAATAAAACTTAAAAAAAAAAAAACAGACCGTAGCCTTTTATGTAATGATGTTTACTTTGAATTTATATTAGTTCACACAAACACTCCATCCATGCTTTTGTTCCGGCCCTCCGGTCCAGTTTAAGAACCCATTGTGGCCCTCGAGTCAAAAAGTTTGCCCATCCCTGCACTAGCCCCATCTTCTTGACTCTTGAAGGCCTCCCACACACCCAGTGGCCAGCTTCAGAGAACACCAGAGCAGGATCCAGGTAGCTTCACAAGCAGCATATCCAAAGGGAGATCTTAGCAGGTACCAGACCCTGCTGAGGTGAATTCTGCTTTTTTGTGGTCAGTATCTGCAGAGCAGCTTGTACATCATGGTAGGGATCGACCCTCCCATTCAGCCAGCCCGAGGGTCCACCCCACGCGTGAATGGGGTCAATAGCAATCAAGACTCAATTACAACAGGAGGGCCCACATAACTCACACAAGGGTCATTCCTGGAGCACCCAGTTTAGGTGAGCAAGGAGACTGTGCCAATGGGTCCCACAATACAATATATAGTTGATGTATTATAGAATTGTATATCTGAAACCTATATAATTTTAGGCCACCCCAATAAATTCAATAAAAATAAATAAAATTTAAAAAACTGGATGTTCCCAAAGTGATTTCTTTTGGAATATAATAACATAGCACATATCTACTCAAATAAATTCTTCTTACTATGAGTGATTATAAATAGCCTTCAATCTAGTCATCATAGAAAATCTACAAGTGTAGATCCTATCTCCAATAACTGATATTTGAGAAAAAAATCCCTCCTCTTTGAAATGCTTTCTATTCTTGGCTTCCCCCACATTCTCCTGGTTTTTCTCCTGCTTCACAGGCTACTCCTTACTTCCTTAGCTGGATCCTGCATATTCCTCTTAGAATATGGCTTTAATATCATTTAAACTTTTTATATGCTGATAAATAATTCTCAAATTTATATCATTTAAACTTTTTATATGCTGATAAATAATTCTCAAATTTATAACTCCAGCCTAGAACCTCATCTCTAACTCTAGACTTGAGATATCTACTCAGGTATTTAGTAGGCAAATACTAAACCTAACCTAATTCCAGTCTTCTTCCTTGTCCCCAAGCCTGCCTTCTTTTCAGTCTTTCCCATCTCAGGCCAAAACTCTGAAGTCAGCCTTCACTCCTCTTTTTCTCTCCCACCAAACAGCCAAGTATTCAGCCAACCTTGCAAACTCTTCCTTCACAGTATTTCTAATGCAATCGCTTTTCACCACCTCTCCTGTTACCATCTTGCCTGGATTATAGCAATAGCTTCCTAACTGGTTTCCCTGCATCCACTTTGCCCTACTGCAATCTACCCTGAACACAGAAACCAGGTTAAAACATCAGCCAATCATGTCACTCTGTTCTCAAACCCCAATGGTTTCCCACCCCAATGGGAATACCTCCCAGTAACCTCAGAGCTGCTTTTTAACTTTCCTTAGGTCTTTACTCAATTGTGCCTTTTTACAGAGGCCTTCCCCGAACATCCTATTAAAATTGCCAGCATCCCCTCAAACTTACCTGTCCTGCTAACCCTAATATATTTTCGCCATAGCACTTACTACCATGAGACCAGTCAAATATTTTACTTATCTATTTTTTTTTTAATTGTCTGTGCCCACCCTTCTCTTTAGAATAGAAACTCCATAGGGTAGACATTTTGTGTGTTGGTCACAATACTTAGAACAATAGATGCTGAATAAATATTTATTAAATTAAGTGTCTTTGTTTCCTTACCATGCATTTGCCTTTATTGGCTAAAGTCGATAGAACACTATATTGTGAACACTTTCTTATTTTTCAAGCTAGCCCTGAATAAAACAACAGATAAAGAGCTAATACGTTTAGAATTTTAGAATCAAATAATTAAAAAGCCAGGAGGGACCTTTGGGCTGATCTTCCTCCCCTTTATGTTCCAGTTAGGAGCCTGAAGACTGGTGTGTTACCATGTCCTCTGCCTGGTTTCCAGTGAATTTTGTACCCTGTCATGTGATATGCCAAAATAAAAGTATAAATTACATGTTTTCTTTCTGTAAAGTTGTTGGTTACTGTATACAGGGTGGGGCAAAAGTAGGTGTACAGTTGTTTGTGCAGAAAATAATAAAATCATTAATAAATAATGATACAAGAATACACTGTGTTTCACAGTACTTACAACTATACACTTATACTTTTGCCCCACCCTGTATTTTTTAAAAAAATATATTTAATTGATTTTTTACAGAGAGGGACAGAGAGTTAGAAACATGAATGGGAGAGAAACATCGATCAGCTGCTTCCTGCACACCTCCCACTGGGGATGTGTCTGCAACCAAGGCACATGCCCTTGACCGGAATCGAATCCGGGAACCTTCAGTCCGCAGGCCGACGCCTTATCCACTGAGCCAAACCGGTTAGGGCCCACCCTGTATTTTTTAAAATAGATTTTTATCAAGGCCAGAGATGTTTAATGCATGTTTTGAATCTTTACAGTATGGTCTAGTATGGCCATTAATTTTTTAAAAGTTTATTATTGAATGTGCTTTTAAACAGTATAAAAAGCAAATTCAAAAGATAGTACTTCAACAAAATCTTTTATTTCTTCTTCTTATTTGTCCATTTCTATTCTAATAAGCATAGTTTGAATATAAAAATCAGTTATAATTTTATTTTAGCTTTATTTACATTAGATTATTTTTTAAAATATATTTTATTGATTTTTTACAGAGAAGAAGGGAGAGGGATGGAGAGTTAGAAACATCGATGAGAGAGATCAATCAGCTGCCTCCTGCACGCCCCCTACTGGGGATGTGCCCGCAACCAAGGTACATGCCCTTGACCGGAATCGAACCCGGGACCCCTCAGTCCGCAGGCCGACGCTCTATCCACTGAGCCAAACCGGTTTGGCTACATTAGATTATAAAAAACTCTCATGTTTCTACAGAGGCATATCATTTATTAATTTAATGGTTACCCTGTATAATAAGATACTGATGCAGTTTACTTAAACCTTTCTTTAATGTTCATATTTCTAGCCTTTGAAGGTGTGAATAACACACCTACAAATATATTTTTTCTCTTTTTGAATGATTTTCCAGGATTAATTATCTTGAGTGGGTAGGATTATTGAATTAGAGAAATAGAAAGGTAACTGAAGTATGTTAAAAAACCTTCCTACCAAGTGCCGATCAAAATTTGCCTACATTAGGATTTATTATTTTTCTTTCAATTTCCCACTTTCATGAGGTAAAGTGGCACTTCTGTCTTAACCTCTGCACATTTTTGATTAACAGCAGACCTGACTGTATTTTTAATGTTTGTTTATGATTTATGTCTCATGTGATAGACAACCCAATTGCCATAGAGAGGTTTGGAGGCAAAATACTAGGTGTGAGAATTTTAAAGAGAAACACAGTGTGGTGGATTAAAAGATAGCTGCCCATAGACACAGACAGCAGCGTGGTGATGGCCAGAGGGAAGGGGGCAGGTGGGGGCTGGGTGGAGGTGGGCAAAGGGGAGGAAAATGGGGACATCGGTCATAGTATCAACAGTAAAATGAACTAAAAAATGATTTTAGAAAACATAAAAACAAAATATAGCAGCAAATACTGTGACACTTTTTCAACTGAGTCCTTCAACTTGGATGCAGCTGAAATGATGCTTTGCCACTTTTAGGTCTGGTCTCTAAGCAGAGCAACAGGTTCCCCTTGGAGCCCTGAGCCTGCTGGGCAGAATGTGTTGAGGGGCCCTAGACTACATGGAGAGGGAGGTGGGCTCCGCTGAGCTCAGACTTCCAGCTTTTCTTGCCAACAGGCCAGACATGTATGTCCTGCACGAAGGAGATGCTCAGCTGCCAGCTGAAATCCACCAAGGGACCCCAGTCAAAGTAACAAGGATCAGAAGACTTGTCTGTGGTACGATAATAATAAAATGGTGGATCTTTTAAACCACCGTCTTGGGGTAGTTGGTTATCAAAGAAAAATGAGCTAGCAAAATTAACCAGTTGCCTGGTTTTGACATTAGAATTAAGATAAAGAATGAATAACTATGTGAAATAGGGAACAGAACCCCAAATGAGATCTCAAGTTGCCCTACAGCCAGCGTTGGACTTTGTTCAGTCCCCACGTTCTCTCTTCTGGCTCAGCCATTTCTTCCACGTCTTCACTATTGTCATCCAGCAAAGGAAAACCATAGCACCAGGAGAGTAAGGAGAAAATAAGTTCATGTCTAAATACAAATGAAGGTTTTCAGAAAATCCCCTTCATGCTTCTTAAATTAGGATGAACCTTTGATATCACAGAGCCCACTGAGCAGTTATTTGAAATTATGGGATGAAGAGCTGACATCAACTTTTGAGTTTGAGACCTATCAAAGTTGCCTTATTAGTCAATCTTTGCAACTTTTCCAGGTGTCTAATTGTACATCATTCTGGAGTAGTTGTTAAAGGAGTTTTATCTTTTTACAGCCTCCTTCTCCAGGCAACTTTTAACTAGAAGTTGAATCTGTACCCAAACCCTTTTCCTGGTCTAACCTCCATCATCTTCCACTTTAAATACGACTGCTAACTACAAAGAACAGCACTGAATTCTCCTCCCCAAACTCAAAGTTGCCACCTGCCTTGGGCGGGTAGCTCAGTTGGTTTGAGATTTGTCCCAATACAGGAAGGAAGGTTTAGAGTTGAATACTCTGTCAGAATCAGCCAATGAATACATAAATAAGTGGAATAACAAATTGAGGTTTCTCTCTCTCAAAATCAATAAATTTTTCTTAAAGTAGGTTTAAAAAAATCCATCACTTATGGCATGTAAGAATATCTATTTTAATTATTGGTAATGGTTGATTATTCATATTTTGCCGGGAAAAATTTATTCATTTTAGAAATATACTTATAGGAGTATACTTTTAGAAGTATACTACCTTAGAATTTAAAAAATTATTTCACTGATAAAACTGAATTAGGGATCAAAATAGGTTTCTAAATTTCCTCATTCTTTTTCTGAAATTCCCACTTTATCTTTTTTTTAAGTGACTATGGATGTAAAATACAAATAAATACGAGTTATATTTGAGGAGGAATTAGTGAAAAGGTTACATCTCTTGTTTACCTTATTCAGATTAAAAGCTAACAGAACTTTTCTTTGATCCCACAGCATCCTGTATTAATTGAGCAATCAATGAAATAATAAAGAAACTGTATAGAACTTGGATGTACAGTTACTCTCATTATCCCCCCCCAAAACAACTCGGAAATGAGAGCTAACTGATATTTTAAAAAAATATATAAAAAAATCATGAAAAGTCTTTCTAAGCCATAATTGACTCAGCTCATACACTAATAGCATGGATTCCCAAGTTTCAAATTGTTTTGTAAAAGGTTCCAATTTCCTTTTTTTCTCTCCTTAGTTTAGTAAAAGAAATAAAAAGAAAGATTTTCATATTTTTAGTAGAATGCAATGCAACCAAATCAAGACTCAAAGCAAAGGTACCTTATCTTCAGGAACTAACTGTGAATGATTCATTCTCGTGTGAAACATTTTGAAACAGAAATGTCAAAATAGATTCCCTACATGCAGGTCCCCAAGCTTAGAGTCAATACCAAATAAAATGTAAAAATAATAAAAAAGGGCCCATGAAACAAAGAATGATGAGTTTATTACCAAGGAAAAAATTCCTGGATTAAAGTAGATTTTTGTGGGAGTGGAATTTTAAAATGGCTTATCTTCTTGACCTAAAACTGAGACCAAGTCTTAGTAAAATATAGGGTGTCTGCCAAAAATGTATACACACTTTGAATAATTATTATTAATAATAATAATTAATTCCAATGGGTTAAATCTGAAAAGAAAGAAACATTGAGTTATCAACTGTTAAGTGTGTATACATTTTTGGGGGACATCCTGTAGATGCTTGAAATTATTTTTTCTGTCTTAAAAAACACACACACAAATATTAAGAACATTGATACAGAACTGATAATTTGTAATTGAATGTTTAGTTAATTTTTTCCCACGCATGGTGGGGATGGTATGGGTGAGGCAAACCAATACCAGAAATAGGAATCTATGCCCTATTACTGAATTAGAAGGCAAACCTTCAGTAGGATTTTGTTTTCTAGAAGGGCTGTTCAATCTCTACTCCTTTTAATATGCTTTTTAATTAGAATTTTTGTTGCCATTAGACTGCCAAATGAATATAATTGACAAAATGCTCTAGATGCAAATTGCCTAAGCCAAAAATGACCAATAATCAGTAAATATGAAAAGCAATTCTAAACGGTAGAGTAAGACTGTTAATATTTTAATTCACTTGGAATAACAACTATCCAGGCACCAACTCTCAATGCTTCTTGACTTCCCTTCTTATGATAAAAATGCTTTTCTAAATCTAACAAAAGAGTAAAGGGAAAGAACCACATTACCTGTCAACACTGAGAGCACAGAGATTGAGGACGGTGATCCCCACTGAAGACTTCTGCAAAAAAGGGAACAGCTTGCATAGAAATATGCCAAAGTCATTGTGATCAAAAGGCCAGCGCCCAGCCAACAGCTGAAAAAAGGAGACAACGTAGTAAGAAATGGCAGAGCTGGCATGGAATACATGGACACATACTTCTAATTATCTTCCAAACTTCTACATTTTATTATTCATTATGCTTTCCCGTTAGCATGGTAATAACAGAAGTATTCTTCTTCTCCTTTTTTTCATGTTTTAAAGACTCAGCAATCTGGAAAAGTTTGGAAAATGATAAATATAACAACAGAAGAGATAAATCTTTGATCTTACATATAATAGTCGTAACAACTACTTTTAAAGAGTAGCAAAAGTGTGGGGCTTGGATGATAGCTTAACAGAGAAGCAAGGCAGTCATCTCTTATCAAATTTTGCTAAACCATCATAAGTAAAGCAAATCATTTTCAGCTAGTGGAATTGGGAGATAATATTGTCTCCTGACAAGCAGCCAAAGTTTTGAATGCGAGGTTATGAAGAATACTGGGAAAATGAAGTGGTTTAAGATGTACTGACTTTGTCAGCTGGTTAACACCCAAAGCTATTTGGAACTTACCTTTCCCTCTGTGCTTGAGGAGTTGACTGCTTCAGTATGTGTGTCATAAGCGGCCTTTCCTTACTAAGACTCAAACTTGCCTTTATCATACAGAGAAAAGTGTGGGTTCTGTGATCTGTTTGTAACATTTGTGGAAAATCTATTTTTCCATGTTGACAATTTAAAGTCTTTGTTGGTATGAAAGGATGGACCCCCTCTAGTGGCTGTGGTAAGTAGCAAGAACATGAAGTCCCTGGAGTTGCTGATATTCTTTTAATTGGGGTATTGCACAAGGAGAAGAATAGTTCAGTTACCTAAGAGGGGGAAGTCTTTGCTGAATATATGATGCATTTTCAAAGTAAAAATGGTATTAATTTCTTTTCCAAGTTTTGCTTAGTGACTCAGAATTTAAACTTTCTTCACTCAGTAGGAAACACTATCCTACTAACTAGATACATTTGTCTTTTTTTCTTTGCAAAGTACCTATTGCCATAGTAACTCTAAGTTGAGCTTCGAATTTCTGTTCTACCATTTCTAAAACATTATGTGAGGTTTAATTTCATGGTCAATGTGGTCATTAATGGGAGTCCATTGAAAGAGGGTGGGAAACCAGTATCCCATAGATACAAAATCAGAACCTATGCATTTTGAGAATTTAGTAACAAAAGCTCTCTAAAATTCTATTTTTTATGGCTAAGATCCTATACTGACTTAATTTTAGAAGTTATCTTTAGTCTTTTAATATATTTCCCTTTCTTCTGAATAACTTTCTAAAAGGACCTTTGTCTTTATTCCAGTCCTGCCTCTAGTCTCTTCTTCCTCTTACTCTAACTAGTCTTCGTTGGTGTCTTCTCAGAATTTCTACATAAACTTTTGTCCAAGGATAACTGATAGGTTCTTCACAAAAACACTTCCCTAAACTCTGACATTTTTCACGAAGCTAACAATTATACCATTGCTGATTGCTGGTTATTAATGCTTGATGCAAGCAAAGGCAAAACACCATTTCTGGGATGAATCACCCCTATAAAGGAAAAAACACACCTGAAAGCTCCTTTTTATAGAGTTTGGTATTTTATCCCAGAAATGTAATTCCCCATTAAAGACTACAGAGATATAATTTAAATGTGTAGGGGTTGTCATAGGATAAGCTTTGGAATAGTTGAACTGTTATGTTATTATTGGTTCATTCTCAGAGGCAGAGGATCCTGAAATCCACTTGGATGGATTTCCCAATAAAAACATCCAATAATGAGAGAAAAAAGGATGTTTCTTGCTTATCTAAGGAGACTCTGAAATCCTGTGAAGGTCTAAGTGACATGTGCTAAGAAAAATGATGCAGAAAAATCCACAACTGAGCATGTATTGTTTTGGGCCAATCTCAGTTGAATTTTTTCCTTTTTCGTGCTTGCTTAAAGTTTTAACTAAGGCTAGGTGTAAAGGAAGGACTGAGGGAAAGATATGGTTTTGGTGAGCCCAAAAATATTATAGAATTGTATTTCATTGACACAGATAGGTGTTTGTTATTTTTGTTGTTATTTGTCTTTTCTCCAGGAGTGAGCATTGATTCTTTTGGGGAAGTAGGGACAAAGGGAAATGAAAGAACTCATTGAAGGAAAAGGTTAGATACAACCACAGTGTAGACTTCCCCCACCTAAATCTGCCCCATTCTGAAAGATGTATGGATAGTAGCTGTTCCAATGCAGTCAGGGGAAATTAAGCCCTGCCTGGAGGCAACTTCTTCCCTTTCTGGTTAAATGTGGCTTCTTCAAAGATGCTCTCCTTAACTACCCAATCTCAAATCACGTAGGACCTGCTTGTTATTCTGATTCATGGAACCAACGTTGGAGTAATTTTACATTTAAAGTCTCCTTTCAACTCACTCTGTTTTAGCAATAGAACATATACAAAAGGAAGAGGCACCAAAGAGGCATGGAGTGCAGCTCACCCATTTTTCTCTTATTAGAAGAGGCATTTTGGAACTTCTGAAAGACTACAGGGAGTGTGTACTTTCTTTTATATACCAGTATGTAAAATTGAAAATAAAAAATTTTAAATGGTAAAAATAAGCAGTATAAAAGTATAATGAAAAGCATGTTTCCCTTCCAATCAAGGCCCCTAAACTTCCTGCCCAAAGGCAGCCACTGTTAACTGTGTTTTCTTCTGGAAATCTTCCTAAGTACATACAGGTATATGCCTTTCATAAAAACAAGTGGAACTGTATGAAAAACAATACCTATTAACAGTCTTTTATGATCCTTTTTCCTAAAGTACTTTCCTGGGAGGCCTAATCGAAAGGTTTTAATTTTTAAAAGCACAATGATGAAACAGTTTAGGCTAGGATAGAAAAAGATAAGCAACTGCTTAGGATAAATTAGATTATGCCAAAAGAATTAGTGGGTTTCATAAAATGTGAACAAGCTACTACCAATTGGTTCACAGAGTTAATCTGGTACCTTGGAGCAGTCAATTCTTATTTTTACTATAAAAGGGCCTATAATTTCCAAGCATATAACATAGTTCTTAGTATTACCATTTTTTCCCTGAAAACACATTCATCTTGTAATTTATTTTCTATTTAAAACTTATTTCTCAGTCTCTCAAAGTAGCATTTCCACTCTTATTGTTGAAAAAAACAATCACCTACCAACTGTTGCTTGAGAAAGTGGGAGAATACTGGTCTACTTCAGACCCAGGTTGAAGAGGGCAGGTCACAAACTATTTTCTTGGAGACCTAACACTTTGGGTTGAGATGGGACTGCTCAGCCTATGAGGTGCAGAGCAGGCATTTGGCGATGATGCACATCCTAACGTCTAAAATGCATACGGTGCCCTCCCCTTCTCGGGATCACAGAGGAACACCACAGAGCACTCACTGAGGCAGCAGAGGGCCGCCTGTGGAGAACAGATTTACTGAAGGACACTTGCCTTGGTTCTTACATAGGGGATTTTCCCTCAATTGAAATATAAAGTCCCTGATCATCATCTGAAAACTAAAATACTACTAAATGGCACAAATTAATGTAGAAATGGGTGATTTGGATTGTGTCAAAATCAACATCATAAAATTGACAGGCTGAATTTTTTTTAAGCCTGTCAAAACAGATTTACAGAAGGACTTGTATCACATGATACACTGATAAGCATCCTGTTTTTAGAAGGACTAGGTTCGAAAGCAGGATGTCCACTATTATATTTAGCACAAAGCAATATCTACTTGGTTGGGAATTTTTAGATAAGAGCAAAGTACCTGTTTATGTCAGTTTTCTGGAACACACCCAACAACCAGAAAGTCAGCAAAAATATAAGGAGCCAATGGTTGATGTGAAATTTACACCCTAAAGCCTGTATACTTGACTCCTGGGCAAAGTGCCAGAGTCTTCACTGCACATTGATTTATTCTAACTTTACACCCAATGCTATAAAGTTTACCTTTTCTTGTTCTTTAGTCCATTGCACATCCAAAGCTGCTCATTAAAAGGAACCTTCCAGAGTGACAGATCCTAGCCGTGGCTGTACATTAGCATGATTGAGGGAGCATTTAAAACTCCCAGTGCTTGGGCCATGGCCCTAGATTAGTGCTTCTCATCTTTGGCCCCCAGGGGACATTTGGTAATGTCTGGAGACATTTATTACAACTGGTGGTGGGGGAGAGGGAGGCTACTAACATCTATTGGGTAGAGGTCAGTGATGCTGTTAATCATTTTGCAATGCACAGGACAGGTCCGCCAACAAATAATAATCCAGCCCAAAATGTCAGTAGTGATGTGGTTGAAAACCATATTGTAGATCAATTAAATCAGAATCTTTGGGGTTGGGACAAAAGCCTCAGTAGTTTTTAAAGTTCCCAGGTGACTCCAGTGTGTGGCCAAGGCTGAGAATCATTGCTTTAGCACGGTGGTTCTCAAGCTTCAGCCCAGGGGTTCTTAAGCTTTAGCAGCATGAGAATCATGAGGATCATCTAGAGGACTCATTAAACCAGATTGCTAGGCCCTAACCCCAGAGTTCTGAGGTGGAGACTGAGAATTTGCATTTCTCTCTCTCTCACACACACCAAAAAAAGGTACAGGTGACCTAACCCTAATGTTGCAGTCTAATGTCTCAGGCCTCACCAGTGTAACACTACAAAATAAGGCTGTTCTTCCCCAAATTCAACATAGATTATGAACTCATAAGATTTAGGTGCAAGTACAAGATTTTCCTGTTACTAACTGTGTGACCTTGGACAAGCCATTTTCCCACTGTAAGTCTCATTCCTGTATTTGTTATTGGGATGGTTCTCATATCTGCCACATGATTGATGAGCATTTGGAAGGCTCAAAATGCTCATGAAAGAATTCTGTAAACCGAATGTATACCACACAAATGTTAGATATTTTGAACTGCTATGATTTATAATCATAAACTGAAATGTACCATTTATGCAGGACTCAATGAATAAAAAGATAATATAAATGAATTTCCCCCTCTTTATCCACTCCAGATGGTAATATCTCTTGCCAAT